TAACATTTTTTCATCCCAAACTGTGAGAGAAGAATGTATATGAAATGTTAATAAATTTGCAGGTTAATGCTGATAATAAATAAAATATTCTGTAACCTGGTTAAGAAACTTGGTTCACCTAACTAAGTTTACCAACTACTAACTGTGGGCAATCTTCATTGATGTTCTGAGCCCCTAATGCTGTTTTTAGATGTAGGATTTTACACAAACACCTTCTTCAACAGGAGACACAATGGCTGCTTGGACAACGTTGCCAACGACCTGTTCATACGCGCAAAGAATGCCGGTGCCAGCGACAACATCACGATCATCACGATCTTCTTCACGGACCAGCTGTCGCGCCCGTACAAGTCGGAGAACGAGCTGGGCAGACTCAGCCGGTTGTCGCATTTCGCGCAGTGGGAGGATGAGGAAGACGAAAGCAGCGGAAGTGACAGTGAGGACAGCGAGATCGACTTCTTGATCCAGACCAGCGACGAGCCCTTGATCGACCTCCTCAGCCCTGTTGGCGAAAGCTCGCACCTTGATGTCGTATCCCCTCCTCTGTTTGTGCCTGACGCCGCTTCAGACACCTCCGTGGAAACAAGTACCGGCTTCCCGGATGTCACAGCTTCTTCTTCTGTCAGCGTAGAGAGGGAACTTTCCATCTTGAAAACCATCTCAGAAGAGGACTTCGTGGTTGACAAGCTTTCCAAAATCCGTCCGTTACATCCGAGGATGAAGACACCCCGTCCTCTTCACGGCCAACCTCCTCAAGCTATGAGGTACCCGACCTGAGGTGTCCCAAGGCTGAGGAGTGTGCAACGAGCCCTGCTGAGTCCAACAAGCACCAGAGCACTTCAGCAAGCACACCGGCTCCCAAGGCACCAATTGCTGTGACAAGACACCAGTCGTCAATAAGCCTTGTTTCAGCTAGGTCAGTTGAGTATGTCAACCCTGTGGATTGCCTGCCAGCGGCTGATTTCAACAGACCAACCTCCGGGATCTGTGCGCCAACCGCGACCCCCGTGGTGGGAAGCACCGTGGCATCTTCCGAATCATCGCCACCTCCCGTGCCAACCAACAGCCCGTACCGGCCACCATCCAGTCCGGTCATCAGAGCACGCCCCACGGTTCCGCGCCTGTCTGGGCCTTACCTGTCGGTCTACACGCCCCACATGTACGACAAGTGGCAGAGAGTTCCCAAAAAGGTCCAGTCATTGCCCGCTCACGCGAACCAGACACCTCTCCCTCTGAAGAAAGTGTCCATCGAGATGGAGCGCAAATTGCTGAAACCTGCAACAAAGAAGAACGCCAGGGAGTATTCACCGGCTGCAGTCCGCCATGGTAAGAAGCCTGACAAGGTGCCGGCTACTGCCAAGCATAAGGTTGCCTCAGCCCCCGTGCTGTCAGTATCTGTGAGTGTGTCCAGCAAGCAGCTCGCTCCACGGGCAGAGAGAAGCAGCCACCAACTTCAAGTCCACAGCTTTGTTATGGCACAGGAGTCTGACATGCCGCCGGTCGAGGGTGTGAACCTGGTGGTCAGCAGAAAGGCAGCATTGAACAAGGCATCCACCAAAGCTTCGTCAAACAAGCCATCCAGACAAGCTTCCTTGAAGAAGCCATCCAGTGAAGCTGCCTTGAAGAAGCCATCTAGCCAGGCTGCCTTGAAGAGCCATCCAGCGAATCTGCCTTGAAGAAGCCATCTAGCCAAGCTGCATTGAACAAGCTCTCCAGCCAAGCTGCCTTAAGCTCAACAGCCGTCCAGACAAGCTCTGTTGAACAAGGCATCCACCAAGCTGCTTTGAAGAAGCCATCTAGCCAAGCAGTATTGAGCAAGCCAACTAGCCAAGCAGCGTTGAACATGCAGCCATCTAGCCAAGCAGCATTGAGCAAGCAGCCATCTAGCCAAGCATCAAAGCGCCGTGACCCATCATCATCTGGTTCCAGCCCAGCCAGACCAAAGAAGGCCAGCTCACAAGTCCGCTTAGACGAGAAACCCAAGAAGAGCAAGAACGCCATCCGGAGGGCCCTGAACAGCGGCAAGAAGAGGTGCCAGGAAGTGTTGGAAGGCGGACGAAAGGCACTGAAGACCACCCGACAGGTTCTGAGCTTGAAGGTAGCCTCGGTGGGATTCCACCTCAACCGCCTGGGCTCGGCAGTCTCCAGGAAGAACCGCGTGGGTCCGCTGGAGCCGGGTTAACTGGAGCATAGGTCACCATTGTAGGGCTTAGATCGTGATAACACCTGGGGCACGGTAAGAACATGGCTTGTCAAAAATATTTGGGGGAGGATCTGGGAGTTAAGTCAATAGCTTGTTTTACCATAGACTTACATAGCTACACAAAATTTAGACTCCCTTATGCAAAATATTATCCAAGGATTACTTAAAATATTACCCAAGACTTACACAAAGTTTTACCCAAGAATTATTTAGTACATATAGTAAAACATAACCCAAGACTTACACAAAATATTTCCCAAGAGTTAGAACATATAGTATAACATTACCCAAGACTTACACTTAATATCATATTTAGACTTCCTTACACAAAATATTACCATAGGTTTACTCAAAATATTATGCAAGACTTACCTACACAAAATATTTCCCTAGAGTTAGAACATATAGTATAGCATTACCCAAGGCTTACACTAAATATCATATTTAGACTCCCTTACACAAAATATTACCATAGGTTTACTCAAAATATTATGCAAGACTTACCTACACAGAATATTACCCACAAATTATTTTGTACATGTATGAAACATTACCCAACACTTGAACAAACTATTACCCGAGACTTACTTACACAAAGTATTACCCAAGACTTGCTGATACACAAGTTATTATCTAAGACTTATACTTACACAAAATTTTACCTAAGGCTTATTCAACATTTTACCTAAGGCTTACACAAAATTTCACCCCAGGCATTTTACCTAAGACAAGACTTACCCAAAATGTTTCTCCAGATTTACCCTATATTTTACCCAAGACTGACAAAATATTATTCAGGACTTCCTGATGCACAAGTTTATCCAAGACTTCCACAAAATTTTACTTTAGACTTACTTACACAAAATTTTACTTCAGACTTACACAAAATTTTACTTAAGACATACTTACACAAAATTTTACTTAAGACTTACACAAAATTCTACTTAAGACACACAAAAATTTTATCCAGGACTTACCGAAAATATTACTCCAGAATTACCCAAAATTTTACTTAATAAGACTGACACAAAATATTACCGAAGACTTCCTAATACACAAAAATTCTTTTCTTCTGTCAAAGTAAGAGTAAGTTTATAGAAACAACATCAGAAATATCTTTCTTAAGAGATAGTTTCTTTGGCTGCAGACTTTTTGAGCAGTATGGAAGAGGCAAGAGGTAAGTGAACTTAATGGTAACATGCGCATGGGCCGGTTCTAGTCATCCACTGATTGTCATGTGTTGGTTGAGAGCCTTTTTACTCAACAAAGTCACCAAAATCTAATTTGAAAAATTCAAGAAAAAAAAAGAAAAAAGAGTTCAATGTCCTGGTCAGTTTGTGGAGCTTAAAAGATGGTTATTCTGGAAGGTGTATGAAAGAAAGAAAAAAAAAGAATAAAACTGTGGAAAAAAATGGCCGTAAAAATATATGAAAAAAGGATGTCTTGCACCGTTGTCATGCAAGGTGATACAGCCAATTGTTTAACGTAATGTTTTGTTTTGTACTTTATGCAATGCCTAGCTTCCCTCCTCTGTGACAATGTCTTTTTAGTTGTCAGTTTCATTTTTAACACCTACTATGCAGAAAAGTTTATTGTACAGCTAGGTTACTTTGAACAGATAGACCAATAAGATTAACCAAATAACATTCCACAGGTGCAATGATATAACATGCCACAATATACTACCAGTAGTAACAGCTGCTGCAGTATAACAGGTGCCGCGACATGACAGGTGCGACATAGACCCCATAAGTCTTGTTATCATCTCCCTCTTAGGGGTAATGGCCTGGCTTAGGACGAGGGGCCTGGCTTAGGACGGGGGGCCTGGCTTAGGACGAGGGGCCTGGCTTAGGACCAGGGGCCTGGCTTAGGGAGAGGGGCCTGGCTTAGGGGTAGTGGCTTAGGACGAGGGGCCTGGCTTAGGACGAGGGGCCTGGCTTAGGGGAGGGGCCTGGCTTAGGGGAGAGGCCAGGCTTAGGGGGAGGGGCCTGGCTTAGGGGAGAGGCCAGGCTTAGGGGGAGAGGCCTGGCTTATGGAGAGGAATCTGGCTTAAGAGGAGAGGCCTGGGGACCCAGCCAAGGGGACTTCTGGCTAGTAGACCCTCTCAGGGGACTTATCCTGGGGCAAGGCCTGTGGTTAATAGACCCAGTCCAGGGGACTTATCCTGGGGCCTCATCAATCCCTCATTTATCCTGGGATCAGCCCCTCGTCCATATCCTGGGATCGGTACCTCGTCCATCCAGAATAACGTAAAACTCTGTAAACTAACAAGCGTCTTCTTGGAGAAAAGACAGTTATAAAATATACATTTTTTTGTAATTTTTATTCCTGACTGTGGCCTTTGATTCTTTTGGCCCTGAAGAATCTAGGCACATTCAGCTGACCATCAGTCCCTTGTCCATCCAGAATAACTTCAAACTCTGTAAACTAACAAGAGTCTTCTTGGAGAAAAGACAGTTATAAAATACACGTTTTTTTTTTGTAATTTTCATTCCTGACTGTGGCCTTTGATTCTTTTGGCCCTGAAGAATCTAGGCACATTCAGCTGACCATCAGTCCCTTGTCCATCCAGAATAACTTCAAACTCTGTAAACTAACAAGCGTCTTCTTGGAGAAAAGACACTGTGAGTTATAAAATATACATTTTTTTGTAATTTTTATTCCTGACTGTTGCCTTTGATTCTTTTAGCCCTGAAGAATCTAGGCACATTCAGCTGACCATCAGTCCCTTGTCCATCCAGAATAACTTCAAACTCTGTAAACTAACAAGAGTCTTCTTGGAGAAAAGACAGTTATAAAATACAGGTTTTTTTGTAATCTTTATTCGTGACTGTGGCCTTTGATTCTTTTGGCCCTGAAGAATCTAGGCACATTCAGCTGACCATCAGTCCCTTGTCCATCCAGAATAACTTCAAACTCTGTAAACTAACAAGAGTCTTCTTGGAGAAAAGACAGTTATAAAATACAGTTTTTTTTGTAATTTTCATTCCTGACTGTGGCCTTTGATTCTTTTGGCCCTGAAGAATCTAGGCACATTCAGCTGACCATCAGTCCCTTGTCCATCCAGAATAACTTCAAACTCTGTAAACTAACAAGCGGCTTCTTGGAGAAAAGACACTGTGAGTTATAAAATATACATTT